CATGATGTGAATATACAAGGAACTTTCGAGAGGGGGAGCAAAACTGATTGATCAAATCATTTGAAAACTCCTCAAATACTTTGGGATCATATAACGGATTAATGATCTCTTGAATTTCATAAATGTTGTGATAAGGAAATATAAAGAGATGCTCGGAAAATATCAGCTCTTGGTTCTGGGGAAAAAGAAAAAAAATTGAACAAGACAAATGACTCGTCGTTTCCGCTTAAGGGCCTTTAATTCAAAACCGAAAAAAACATACCTGGCTGATTCTCAAAAACATCGAGCCATGGTTTGGGCTGGTGGTGGTCACGACATGCGACGCGCCCTCTCTTCTTAAAGCAAAAAATACCCCGTGGAAATATTTAAACATCGAAAATCCAGTAGTACTTTGTTGGGCAACCTGAGCTGGAGGTTGCGGTGGGGGATCATGAACCTCGTATAAAATCAAACTATTAGGTTCTTTATTTTTAAATGGTAGTGTGTCTGTCACCCAATTGTATCCCCTATTAATGGCATAGCAAGTAAAGTATCCACGTTGGCCTAATGTAAAGGGACTTTAATGAGTTAAGCTCGATCCTTGAAAGCAAAACCTTTCCGTTGGGGATCACGAATCGAATGACGAAATTTACCTGTGCTTGTGACAGCCACGAGGCAATAGAACGCAGACTCAGTAACGTAGATTGGATGCATAGAGGCAAGCGTTCCTCTCAAGCCGGATCTGTCCTCGTTGATGGACCATCTTCCTAAATGTCTTAAGGGACCTCCATCCTTGGTAATATGAAACGCCTAGAAAAGAAAGTAATGATTCGTGGAGGGGGAAAAGGTCCGTGAACTTTCTTTGCGAACGTAAAAAATTCAAAAACGACCCAAGGACCGACCTATACCTCTATATGACTGTCAGACATTACGTATAATATCCTACGCGTGTCATCAACCACGGCAGACCTAAGACGTGCTTCAAGATTACAGATAAATCATGTGCGGATTATTTTACATATTGTTTTAACGCATCAATAATTGAATGACGGTATTATCTCCTTACATGAATAATTTGAAATATAACGCCAATGCTTATTAAACGTGCTTAGCGATTGGATCTCTAACCTGCAAGGATGAGAAAACCAACCCTCATCCTGGATTAAATGAATTTAGAGATCGGAACGGCATAAAATCAAACAGAATTCGATCACGTCTTAAAGGATATAACCTACCTCATAGACCAGCTCACAGAGTTCCCCGGAATCGATCAGAAAAATACGCCCATCCTCGGTGCCAACGATCGATTCCACAGTTTTTTTACTATAGTTCGCTCGGTACCTATCTGATGACATATCATGGAAAACTATCCCTGTGGGGGTATTGCTTAATCCAAAGACGTAAATCGATTTGTCCGTGACGATAACCAATACATATTGCGCATCATCGATGAAACGTCCTTATATATATATAAAAAAAAAAAAATAGATCGATCAATCGATCAAGATACGAATCACACGCTTTCTGACAAAGGATTCTCATAAAAGTCACATACCAGGTCTCGGCTTGGCCAGACCCACGCATTTTATATAAAGATCCTGTAGGGGATGCACGTCTATGTGACCGATAGCGTTATCATCATTTCTATCGACGAATGATAAAGTTGAAGATTATTAAAGAAAATGATAACAGTGAATAACGGTAGCGGATAGGATCATGATGAAGGTTTATCAAGTGACACGCGTTCCCGATCAAGCGCACTGAAAATATCTACCCTTTCTCATATTCCCATATGAATAGGTTGTCATTCACGGTAAAGTACACCAGGTTCGTATAAGGAAAGCAGCCTAGTTTTACCGTTATTTCGTCTGACGTGTCTATTTATATCCATTAAGGGTGATATATGTATATACACATTATATTGAAAATAAGTTTGAAATCAAACTTGACGCCAAAGGAAAAAAACAAAAAAAAAAACAATAAAAAGATACTGGCAAGAAGTTCGCGTAAACGTGTCGGAATTAACACAATTTTTTCTTCCTTCAAAGGAAGTGTATCTTGCATTACTTCTTTATAACGTTCCTGAGTGCGATCTGGGCTTTGACGAAACGCAGTGGTAAGGTACTTGTTATCTAAGCTAACCTTGGAAGAGATAAAGCTTTCTTTGGTCGTGACGCCGGTCGCCATTTTGCCAAGGTTAATAACGGGAACCTATGATTTATTATTATACGTCAAAGATAGTAAAGACACCTTTTGACGTTGCGATGGGAAGTTATCATGTTGACAAAACACGATGATCACGTGCATCAGACAGTCGACCAATGGGAGTTCTAACACGTGATCTCACAACCTATTTCATTTCCCCATTTTCATTTACGTCTTTGACGTACGTCACATTAATTCAGATGGCGTCTTGTTTTGACGTGTGTAAGGAGTTACGTCAGGAATTTTCCCATCGAATCGGTCGTGTAACGCTGACATCGAAAGGCGAAATTTCTTTCATGTGACTTCAGTTGCGAGAATCGTGGAAGTCACGTGAAACACGCCATTTATTTTTTCGAGCAAATGAGAATGAAAGGTGGCAAAAGACATGACACCTTAAAGGATAGGTTCCAAGTTTTGTTTTTTTCGCTCTCATGATCGTACCAACGGCAAACAGGTTTAGAGGGGACTCATCAAACCATAAGATCTGAAAAACCTGATTTTTAGTTGCGTAACAAGCCCCAGAGCATGATAATCAATGCGGTGATAATTTTTTTTTTTTTTTTTCTATTTGAAAAGATAAAAAAAATTTTAAATTAATAAGAGATACAGGCAAAAATAACTCTTCTTAATTTTTTTTTGAAACGCGTTCATGTAACGCGATTTACAGGATTATTATCATTTGATCACAATGTAAAGTAGGACTTCCGGGGGACCAATACAATTCCTCTCATATTCTTGAAATAGAATTCGCATAGGATATACCAAGGAAAAACCCTTTTTTTTTTTCATCAACCAGCGTACAAATAATTTAAGGAAAAACTTTAAAAGTTTGAAATATTCATGTGAAGGTTATTTAAAAATTTAATTCTGCATAATCTAGAATCATAAAAAAGGAAAATCATTTCGGAAATTTTTACAAAATTTTGACGTAATATGTTTGTGTTATAATTTAATTGATAATTTAATTGACGATTTAATTGATGGAAACGAAATTTGATGGACAAATTGGGAAAAACTTAATATTTATCGTTAAACAAATATTATTATCCTTTGGACCCTGAACGACAAGGAGCATAAATATTTACTCGAATATGGATAAACCAACGACCAATCAATTGTATGCTGTCTGTGCGAACTTTAGGATCTCAATTGTTTTTTTTTACAAAAGTTTCAACTTTAAGGGTTAAAGAGGGATGGATGAATTGGGATGAGTTCAAACAAACTAGAACGTAAACTCGTTTACAACATGAAAACGATATCAATTATCTCGGTGAAACAATCTCCAAATGAATAACATTATTTAATTAGATATGATTAATTGCATCATATAATTATTGTGTCATTGTATTAAGATTTAATGTAGTAACCTGCAAGCAAACATGTAATTTCTATTTATGGATTCATTGACCATTGTTAAAATTTTTTTCATTTGTCACGTGCGACTCCTTTTTTTCCAAAAGGTGTTATCTTTTTTCAAAACTTGGTTATTAGTAAGATATCAAATAGCATGTAAACAAATGCAAAAACCAAAAAAAAAATAAATTTAATTAAACTTTTTAATTTTTAATTAAATGATGTTTGGATCAATCACCGTGAGGAAATAAATTCATGGTGAAAGATCATGTAACAATTAATGAGTAATACAACATGATTCATCATATTTCGTTTTACACAAAACAAAGCAAATCGTTTCTTTTTTATTTTTCAAGTCTAAAAAAAAAAAAAAAAGATGGGAAAGTAAATAAAGCAGTTATACTTTATTTTTATTTTTATGTTTAAAGGGAGGGTGGTGAAAAATTACCTCCGATTTTTTGCTCTTGGCCTTCCTTGTGTAACAAGGCATCTCCAAACAAATCAAGATGGTAACCCTTTTTATTTTCAAATGACAAATATTTACAAACGCCGATTGGTGCAATTTAGGTGAGGGTATCCAATAAACGCGTAAAACAAAGGGCGGTACAATTTTGGGCTCATTAACTAAACATTTCACGAAATCTTTGTAAAATGATCCTTTGAAAGTCATTCTGTAAATGGATAATTACATTTATCATTCCAAGATGAATTTGTCTCATGTACGCACACATTGTGTTTGTTTAGATGTTGTTCGTGTGTATTCTTTTACCCGTTCCTTATCTCATCTTTAAAAGTTATCTTCACACCTTCATGAGAAAATATTTCGGCCCGAAGAATGGCCTAATGCGTCACCTGAACAGCATCTCCCTATAATTGGAAGTCACCAAATGTTTTCAATCATGGCTGGTTGGTAAAACGCGAGAAATGACCATGTTTCCGCGCCGAGATTTGGCAACGGCTTACCAACAACATGTTTTAATGACCGACGACGTGCGCTTGGCAATTTGCACAAATGGTGTCATTTGCACTATGATCAAAATAGTATGGTATTAAAATAATTTGTAAATAAATAAAATGAAAAAAAAAAAAAAAAGTTCTATTACCACTTTTGTCTTAGACGATAATCATTTTGACAGTTCTTAAACCTCTCGGTTACAATCTCTCCGATCACACGCAACTTTCATTTAAAAATTTATGTTTGCATAATAAAAAGAAGGTGAGAGGAGACTTGATTGCCACAAGCCACCAAATCTCTGAGATTTTTTTTGGATCGGCATCAATTTAATGATGTTTTGATCACGCCCATCGACCTCATCGATAACTTATCTCGCCATCGTAAACACGCACAGGAGGGTCAATCAATTGAAGAACGGTTCCGAACGATGACGCACGTGCAGGATCCGTGCACTATCATCGACCAAGTCACCGTGACACAACCGACACCCCCAACGTGTCACAGATTATATTTGTTTTTGTTTCCCTTTTACAAACAAAAAAACTTTAAAACGAAAATAGCAAAAATCAAAAACACGTGGGGACTAGCACGAGTTTTATTTTTAAACACAAATAACTTTAAATAGAAACTAAAAAAAAATTTTTTTTTTTTATTCCATCATCATCACAATTTGTTTTGATAATTTGTACAAATTTGTAATTTTGAATCAAGACAAAAACAAAAAGACGCGGCCTTATTATTATTTTTATTTTAATCAAGAAACAAGATTACAAGGTTTAATTTTGGGTAACTCTATTGTAAAAGAAGGGAATTCGACAAGCAAAAAAATCATTTTCGATTACCTGTTTTTAAGATTTCCTGAGCGGACATTGAAACCAAACATGAACAATCACAAGGGGTAGATTTTTTTGATGTATCAACGAGAAACACGTGTGTAAAACACGAGTTTTCCATCAAAAAAAAGTGTTTTGCGATTTACGATAAATCAACACTTGATAATTTGTTGTATAAACAATAAACAATCCTACAATTGAATTCTCTCAGAGAGAAAAAAAAAACCCTTCCAACCAATGAACAGAGAGTGGGACCCAATTACTTAAAGTAAGCACATTGGCGTAAAAAAAAAAAAAAAATTCGGCTAAACCAATATCTTTGGCGGCAGTTCCCACTTTTTTTTTTCCCTACTTTGTACTTTTAAAGTAATTCCTCTATTTTAATTATTACTTTTAAAGCATGTAATACGAAAATAATTAAGAACCAATGGTAACATCTCTTTTACACACAGACTTTGTATATGAAAAACACATGGTAGGAAATATAAATAAATGAACATCAATAGGTGATGAAATCATCCCAACAGTTTTTTTAACAATCCATTTCCATGTGTTTAATATAATATATATAAACAAGGATTTGCATTCGATGAAATCGATAACCTAGCATAAAAAAAAAAAAAATTAATTAAGAGTACATGATTCTTAATTTGGAAATCAAGAATGTGCTGAGTGAAGCAATCCCTAACAACGAAACAACGAAGTATTCAGTCGGAGAAGTTCGGAAATATTAATGATATTTGATAATGTGTTTACATAATTTCTATTCTATCGAATATGTTTGAACAGAAATGCTGTGAAACGTTCTCACTTGATGTAGCCGAAGCGAAAATCGAAATCTTTTTTGCGCGCACCAATGACAATCACAGCAACTTATCAAAGAAAAGTAAAGTTCATCATCCATCATCATACAATCCCCTATTTCTTTTTATATTGTGCTAAAACAATCTGGGGTAGTAAAAAAATTTTCAACATCTTCGGGGTGAACAAAAGTAATTTGTCAACACGTTTTTTTTCAATAGGTTTTAACAAAGAAATACATTAACAAAGGATTTTGCACGTTTTTGTTTTAACGTTTTTTAATTCAAAAAACCTGATTTTAGGTTACAGAATTTAATAACTCGTTTCGTTTGCTCGTCTTTTTTTTTTTTTTGAAAAAAAAAAAAAATTTGATCGCGACTAACACGAGAATCATAAATTGCGACTAATTACGCAATTCCATGGCTGTATCTATTTCTGTCGCACAACATAATAAAAAATAATACTCCTTAATTTCGAAATCTAAATACCTAATAATTAATTACTAATATTTTACTATGTATTTTATTTAACTTTTGCCTTTATCCTATACCTTTTTTTTTTTCTCTATTTTTTTTTTTTTTTTTCCTTTTTTTTTTCCCTTTTTTTTTCCCTCTTTTTTTTCCCTCTTTTTTTTTTGAAAACAAAAAAAAAAAAAAAGATTACAAGAATTTATTCAAGAAATAAATATGGCTTAGAGGTTTCTTTTTTTTTCACATTATGTCATCATCGCCATTCAGAACTTAAACCAAATACTATTATTAAAATAAATATCAATATCAAGAAAAAAATCTCATAATATTATTAATATTATTAATATTTTTCATTTAAAGAGCATAAATTAAAAAAACCAGAATGACGAATGATTTTCTTAATGCAATTTCGCAAACAAATCATCATTCAAAATCTTATTATATAATTCGGAATGGGAATCGAATTGAGTTACCGATAAACAATGGCAGCTCCGGTTAGCCGAACTTCCAAATAAGATGTAATATTCGATCACTCGCATGTATTTGGTTAGGACGGTATAACCATAAAAAAAATTTTTGTTTATTGAATGGTTTATTTTTTACACACGAGGTCTATCGCCATGAGCATCCACCACGTTTTTCTCTTGCTGTTAAAGGAATGTTGTTTACTTCTTAACATGATTAAGTAATTTAAGTAACTTCTCATCAAAGGAATATCACTTGTATTACAAATATCATAAATAATTTTTTTTTTTTTTTTTTTAATGGTTCTCCAACTTCTTTGGAATTCTCTTTCCTAATTTTTTGTACTTTGGAAGGATCTTTTTCTTTTTTTCTTTCTTTATCTTTTTTTTTTTTAAAAAAAAAAAATCTTGCGCTTCGTCGCACACTTATTGTTATTCTTTAGTGAAAGGATTATTAATGAATCCTCATTAATTAATTAATAACAATGATGCATTTTGTGGTTTTCGATTTTTCTTGTTCACTGATTATTTTTTTTTTTTTTTTTTTTTTTTTTTTTTAAGTGATAAACAAAATAAATCCTTTATTTTTTTTTTTTCTTTGTAATCCTCGAACCGTTACAAAATTGAAATTAACTGAACTATATTTATTAATTCAACATTTAATAAAATCATGTTTTTTATTAATTGAAAACCATTTGACTTGATTCTCGTGGTTTGACAAAATGAAAACACGTTTTACATGTCTTAAATGTTTACTATTTATTTGCTTTTTTATTTTTTTTCCCCTCCTCTTCTATCATCACTTTTCAGGCAATCAACGATCTAATCGGTATACCCCTTACTACAGTCGGTATCGTGACGGTGTGGAATCAAAGGGTGCGATCGCTTCACCCCTGTGGATCCTTGATGCGAGCGTCAAAAGAGGTGCGTCATTCGGTGACACGAGGCTCGATTGTGGTGATGCCATTCTTCTAGCCAACCTTCCTAGATTTGTCATCCCGGACAGATGTCATTGGTTAAACCTTGGAAGGACCTAGGACCGTCGCAAAAGATGAAGGTTGCCAATAACGCTTTTTTAAGGAGAAGCATCATGTCGATTTTCACCGTTTAAATCAAGATGTGTCAAACGTTCATGTACAAAAAAGCGCACGGAAATGGAATTGTTGAAAAAGAAGCACCGAAAAAAAAAATTGAAATTACACAAGATGATAAATACAAATGTGCGATAATGTCAACTAGTTTGTAAAATGATTGATTATTTGTGACAATTCGGCATCAAAGATCGTAAATCCGACATGTACCGTGGCTTAGAACTTTAAAAGAATAATAATAAGAATAATAATAAATAATAATAATAATAATGCTTATTTCACAGGAAAAGCCACAAAAGAATTTAAGAATTAAAAGAGAAGGGTTGTATTTTTCTCGGGGCCAAAGGCTAAACAATGAACCTATGGCGTCATATGAAATCAAAGAATCGTTGCTGCGTCACACCTAAATGCATTGTCTAATAAGGAATATTCAATATATCACAATAATATAAACAAGGTACTTCATTCGCCAACGGATATGAATCATTTAAACCCTTGCAATTTATTTTTGGATGAAGTACTTTCGTCATTCAAATTAAAAAACATTCTAAATTCATCCAAGGTGCTTCGTTAAATGAAAATAATAATATTTTTTTTTAAAAAAAAAAAATAAAATAAAATAAAATAAAATGAAAAATAATAAAATAAAAAAAAATTTACATCGAAAACTCCCCCAAAAAGAAATTCAAAATAATAAAATTATTTCTCTCTCTCTCTTTCTCTCTCTCCTTTTTTTTTTTTTTTTTTTTTTTTTTTTTTTTTATTTCCTTTTCGAAGCTTAATTTAATTAAATTGTTATATTAAAATAATTTAAATTAATCATCTCTTACAAAAAAACTTCGCCCCAATAGAAGTAAAGTTTTGTTTACGGTCTTCTGCATACGTTAATTTTTTTTTTTTTTGAAGTACCGAAAATATGAGATTTACCATATTTATGACTTTCTAGTTTGTTGATTTAAAAACAATGCTGCCCAACATCATTTAGACAATTTAATGTTTTACAAAAAAAAAAAAAAAAAGATAAATAAATAAAAAATAATAGATTATGGTTCGGCTTATCCGAGGAAATTTTCCACGGTTAAATACTTTAATTTAATTTCCTTCTTTTAAACTTAAGGTTTAAGCCTATGTTCCCTTAAAAGAAAAACATCATGAAAAGCCAAGAAGGAAAGCTATTTATTTAATTAAAGAGAAAAGAAAATAATAAGAAAAAAATTCTAGCATGGAAACCTGAAACTTTGCGTTACAAAGGGTTGCTTCAAATCAAAAATCATATTGTATTCCCTAAAATAGATCATGCTTAAAAAAGATTCGGTGTACCTATAAAAATGCCGATTATATGCTAATTAAACCAAAAAGTAAACGCGTTTTTTTAATTTATTTTATTTTAGGTAAACAATTCATTGATAAATTAGATCCAAAAATGAGAAAAAGCTTCTTTAATTCGAAATCACGATTTATTTATTATTATTTTTTTTTTATATCTAGCATAACATATCTAAATAATTAACAGTTTTATTTTTGCTTATGAATTTTTTTCCCATGCCTTTATCCTTTTTAAAATAAATGCGTAATCGTCTCACCAAAAAAAAAAAAAAAAAGAGTAATAATAAAATCATTTGACATAAAGGACCTATTATTAAAAAATTCAAGATTTCTCCCCAAATAGTATGATAACGTCCCAATGACACTATCAACTCATCAGTTTGATTAATTTCTTAATCCACAACTTTATCACGCGTAACGTTTTTCCCACAAAAAAAGTGAAAAAGTCGAACAAACAAATAAATAAAAGAAAAAAAAATAAAATAGACACAACGGTTGAAACAATCTGTTTGGAGCGGCAAAGAGCAAACGATCATTCTTGTGAAGTTATAAATCAATTAGGCGTAGAATCCCGTAAATTACCGAACATAGCCACCATCATACAAAGGGAATTAGTAAAGAATAGGTCCCATGGTCAATTAGTATAAGCCTTTTTTTACCGCCACTCGCGTTTATATTGTTAGATGATGATGATCTATTAGTTTTTTTTGGATAACAGATAATACATTGTTTGCCAAGTAAACTTTGTTTGTGAAAAATCGCGTTTATGATCTTGATTTAATAAATATTAGTTCATCTGATATCGGTTCATCTGATATCTTTAATATTACCATAAAAAAATTTTTTTTTTCGATTTAAAGAGTTTTTAGAAATATTGCAACCAAATTTGGTTTATATAATAAAAAAAATTGTAACATGAAAATTTCAAGTTCAGAAAAGATTGGGTGACTCGTTTTCTATGTGGCATGTGATTGACACGAAACTCCAAAATAGAGTATGAATGATCGAAAAAAATTTATTTATAAAAAAAACCGAATATAAAAGCAAAGGACCAAATTTATGTAAAAAAAAAATGATTTCTTTTTGGTTCTTTGGGACTCGATCGAAGAAATGAATGAGATCATCATGTGCCTTCTTACGCGTTATCCTGTTTCGTCATCTTGCTCCGTCATTGCCAGGTTTTCATCAACCAAAGTTTAAATGATTTGAGACGAAACAACATCTATCATACAAATTGTATTGTTTTCCTTTTTTTAGTTGTTATTTTTTTTTTTTTTGAACAAGAATTATTAAGTAATCTGTTTATCACGAAATTCCTTATCATGTCGAATCAGATCCCTTTTTATATTAATTGAACCTTTTTACGTGAAAAGAAAGCCTTGCAACCTTTAACAATCTGTTTATAAAAAGTCTTCACAAGTTCTCAACATGTTGAGATAAATTTGCCAACGAATCAATTTACCTTTGTATACAACTCTCTTTCTTATTAGTTTCCCACCCCTCAAGTTATCTTTTTTTTTTTTTTTTTTCAGATACCACAAAGCCAAGTATTTTTCTTGTCTTTATTTTCGAACGTAACAATTTCGAACGTCTCATCTCCCCCCTTGTTCGACATTTTCACACGCAACATCAAAAAAAGAGATTGTGAAGCAGTATGAGTTTGCTTTTTTGTTTCCTTTATTTTTTTTTTATTTTTTTTTTTTATAAAAAATTTATTATTATTATTATTATTACTAATATTACTATTATTACTATTATTATTATTATTATTTCAAGGAAAAAAGAATGTAACACTTAAATTATATATTGTGTTTTATTTTTATTTTATTTTATTTTTTTATTTTTTCCTAACCCTTTCGATTTTCGCAGAGAGTAAAATCACCTTTTTTTTGTGTGGTATATAATTCTGATAATGACTAATCATCTCCGATTTTTTCGTTTTTTACCCAATCAATGGTAACCTTTACGTAACCGTATTGTGATACAAAATGCCATTTATGCGCCACAATTCTAAATATTATAAACGAAATTAATTGAACCAATAAATCACCAAATATATTATGTTTAATCCTAAACATTAATAATTAAAATATTCTCAAGGACTAACTTAGAATGTTTCTTTTTTATCTAAAAAAAAAAAAAAATCTTGATAGGTTTCGATTATATGCTATTACCTAATTGATATATGTGATGTTATTGAAACAATCATTGTTTAATAAGAAAAAAAATCAAGTTATCATTCCTGTTTATTGAACCGTTTATGATTTTCATATACATACATACATACATACATACATATATAAAAAACAATGGAGCCTAATAAAAGTGAGAGGGTTCTTTTTGGACCCTTTAAAAAAAAAATGTCAAATTTCGTTTGGTTTGTCAGGACAACATGCCTTCCATCCATTCGTTTACCTTTTTATAAATGAATCCATAAAGCGACTTTTCCACGAACCCAATACGCATTTTAAATTTTCCAATAAAAAAAGTGAACTTTAATTCAGCCTTCAAGTTTAACATGCTTATACAAGTCTTTTACACAATGTCAATCCTTTATCCAATCATCATCACTGATTTCATAATCATCCTTTTTGAATCCTTTTTTTTTTTTATATGTTGGAGCTTGTCCTTTATCTTTTTTCCAAATATTCAAACTCATTGTTAAAATCGAATCATATGAAGTATTTCAAGTAATACGAATGAACAAAATGGGTAACCCTAATTTAGTACATTGACTTACACGTGATAAAAAGCAATTGATACGCGTTCTTAAAAAGATTTCCACGTTTAGATTTATCTGTCAAAAAGAAACGCGACCAAAGAAACAAAAGTTGTACATTGTTGTTACCATAATAGATTGTTATTTATGTAACCTTTTTTCTATCATCATTTGTCACACATCCAAACAATTTTAACGTGAGAAAAAAAAATATTAATTGATTTTATTATTTTTATTAACAAAAAAAAAAAAAAAAAAAAAATACATTATTCATTCGCCCAGAATTAAATTCAAAGGGAAAAAAAGAAAAATATCAGGAAAAATATAATTTGCATTGCTAAAAAATCAATGAAAAACAATCTTTTTTTGTTTATTTATTTTTTTTTTTTTTTTTTTTTTTTTTTTTTTTATGGTATGGTTTTATCCAGCTTTTTTCGCCAACCCAGTGGCGCCAACTCAATATTTATAAACAAGAAAAGAAAACTTTCAAAATAAAATAAAAAAAAACCATCACACCATAGTTTGTAAAGTAAGAATCGCTAACCGAAAATAACCGCGAATAAAAAGGAGAAATAATAAAAAAAAAAAAAAAAAAAAATAAGGAAAAGAAATACATACAAAAGGTAACGATCAATCAAAGAAACGAAAAAAAAAAAAGCAAATAGAAAAAAAAATTGAAAGGTGATTTTTCTAACAACTCGCGTGAATATGATTAAAAAAGTTATATATGCAAATGCGAGTATTATATATAGTGATTAAAAAGGTTGAACCAAAGGGAAAGGATTTCTAATGTTGGAAAGGAGCAAGAGAAAAGAAAATAAAGGAAGGATAGGAAAAGGAAAGAAGGAAAAAAAAAAATATACAAGAAGAGTTGCAGAAAAAATCAGGTAAAACATTTCAAATATATATATAAAAAAGAAAATTCGGTTATATTTAAAATTAAAATCGAATCAACGCATTGACGATTATTTGATCATTCGGTTAGTTTAAGAGAAACTATACTAAATAAAGAAATAAAAACAACAGGGTATCAAAAACTTTGTTCAGAAGGCCCTTTTGAAAATGAATGAATGTCCATATGAAAACAACTCATAGTCCGATTGCGTATATTTTGTCAAGAGTTTGTTTTTGTCGATAAAGTGTACTCATCCTATAAATGATTTGAAAAAGAAAAAACTAAATAAGTTAATATATAAAATCTCGTATGATATAGAACGAACCGAACGGAAATGTGTGTGAACAAATACCTTTTCTCTTTCTCTAACTCCGCATTCAAATATACACACGTTTGAGTTAAACGGTTGATTTCATCAAGAAGAAAAGATTCCTTCCTTTGCATATTTTTCATATGTGAAACAGCTATACATAAAAAAAAGAGGAAAGAAGATGAGCTAAATTCTACTCAAGTCTATATCATGTACATAAAACGAGTAGTTTGATGGAAAGAAACGCGTAGATTTAGGCACCTTTCTGTAATAAGACAGCCTTGCTCAACTTTCGACCAGTATAAGTTGTTGGAAGTTGCCTGCGAAGCTCTTCGAACCCGTCCTTGATCTCAGCGCGTCGTTTTTGCTCCGATTGGATGTGTATTTGACGACGGAATTCAATCTGTGACATTGTACTGTTTGAGGCAAATTAGGATTAAGGGTTAGACGCAAATCTAAAACGTGAATTTGATGACGTGAAAACTCCCTTCCGTGAAGGATGATTCGCGTATTTTTTACCGACTTTTCAGAATGTTGATTCAATTTCTACAACAGAGAATTGATACTTGCCTTGCATTATCATCGACATCATCACCGCCGTCCATCGATGATGTCTCACATTGTTCATCACGCGTTGATTTTCTCCGTCGTCTGCAACCGGACTTTGCGCTCTCATACTTTTCTTTGCTGTATTGAAAGAATTCAGGAACATCCAATTCATCAGCAGTCGGGGAATCACGGTATTCGAGTATTGATAGTGGGGGTGAAGGTGAATGAACGGGAGAAATGATCTGAGAGACTTGTGAGGGTGCTGATTGTGAGTTGTCGATGGGGTACATATTTAATGATAGTGTTGGATTCATGCTTAACGGAAGGGCTGGTGGAATAAAAGGAACCGAAGACACGGAAACCGAGGGTACTGACGTTGGTTGTGAACAGGTAAAGAAATCTGAATTGTAAAGATTTAAAAACAAAAGAGAACGGGCAAAGAGAAAAAACTTGTATTATTATTTATTTATGTTGTATAGATATTGGCGGTGGCCAGTTAGTTTGGTTCTTTTTTTTTTTTTTTTTTTGTTATTTTCGAAAATATTTTGATAAACTTTGAAAATATCAATAAATATCATTATATTTTTAACATTAGAATTTTTTGACACGCTTTTTCGTCCAAACTTTTTCACTTTCTCGTGTTTAATAAAAGACATATGCGCGACTTTACTCTAGAGAGGATTTAAAAAACGATAAAGCGGTACGAAAGTATACCTGAGCTAATGACCACAGGGGTCTGAACAACGGTTTCAGGTGGGAAAACATATCCCGAGGCGGTAGAAACATAAGGCTGGTGATGCATGTTGTCAAAGATATTTTTGGCGCGAAAGTTGAAAAAAAAAGCGCAAGAGAGATTTTGGGGAAGAGTAACGAGGTATTTATTTAAGGAGAAAATTTGATAAAAGCTTATATATTTTCAAGGAAAAAAAAAAATTTTTTTTTTTTTTGTTTATTATTATTAAATAGAATAGATAAGATGGTTTAATTTCTATTCTATAATTATATATCTAAAAAAATTATTATATTAGAAATTGTAAGAAAATTTTTAAGCGGAGAAACAGAAATAATCGTGTGATATAAGAAATATGTTTTGTAAATTGATCAAATTAGGGAATAGTTTTGAAGGTGAAAATAATTTCAATCGTTCTTTCTTACCAGAAAAGAAAAGAATATGTTAGGTTGAAAAAAAAACTTTCAAGACGATGAATCCGAGAGTATTTATTCGTTTTAGAGCAGAAATTTTTTTTACATCTTTGGGGTCTACCTTTTGGGGTAGGGATCTTAATTTATACAATGAATAAAAAATAAATAAATAAATAAAATAAAAAAATATTTGTCAAAATTAGGGTTCACAAAAAAAAAATTATTGTCAAGTACTATAAAAGATTTTTTTGAATTACCTGGATTATTTGGAAAGAAATGAATAGGTGGTGACTGGTTTACAAAAAAGAATAATTTTTTTTTCTCAAAGCATAAATAAAAAATTATTTTTATGTATATTTATTTATATCAGTTAAATCAATTAAATCGATTGAAACATGTGATCGCATACAGTAAGTAATCTACTGTAAATTTTTTTTTTTCTGTTACCTACTGTTGAAATGAAAATATTAGAGTGGCTGGAATATACTAATTGTTAGTTTAAACAGGTTTTCCAATTTTATATATAATTATTTATTTATTTTAAAATAAATATGTATGATATAGGATTAGCAAGTCATTAGAAATGCTCTTTTTCATTACCATGAACCTCTCAAAAATTTTGTTTCTTATAGGGTCTTTATCCGAACCTACCATCAGAGGTTAGCTCATCAAAAAGTTTTTTTTTTTTTTAAACAAAAAAAAAGGGATCAATCCTTCAATATATTTTATTTTTATTTTTATTTTATTTTTCTTTTGGTAGTAAGGAATAGGCAACCCATCCAATCATTGTGTTTGTATCAAGTCTTTCCAGTAGCCTTTTTGTTTTTATTTTTCTTTATTTGAAAAAATTAATTAAAATGAAATAAATTTTCGATGTTTTGTTAATATTATTATTTCGTTTTGTCCGTGAAAGCCGAATCAAATGTTGACCTAGATCCCAAATTGTTTAAAATTCAATGTTACTTTAATTTCTTTTCCCTAATGGTTGGTCCAACTTAAAAAATATATATGATTCGATACGTTACGAAAAATGCATTACATTATACAAACGATTCTTGTAATGTCGCCTTTTTGCGTTTTTTTTTTTTATTTTATTTATTTACGCGCATCATTTATTTGAAATTTAGTAAACTTTTTTTTTTTTCACCAACAAAATTACGATAATTTGAAGATGAGCAAGATAAATATTAAAAAAAAATATTTAATGAATTGCGTCGTATTTTTTTCTCCTAGTCCGCACGAATCACCTTCACGCTCTTCTTTTCAACAAAATATAAATAATAATCAGAGTGGCATTTCTATTTTAAAGGATGTGATCTAATTCATCGTGATTAAATATCTATCCCTAAACAAAAACAACTGAAAAAGGATTTAGTGGAAAAATAAGGATCGGGTATTTTCGGTAATATTATCTTAAAGGTTTCCCTAGTCATTCTTGAATTGGTTCCTGTTTATGTAATCTGTCTAAATATAGAAATATTGTTAAAAAAAAAAAAACACTAGCCATCCACATAATTCAGTAAAAATTCACCCTCCATACTTGGACGCCCTTACAAGGGGTAAGAGTCGAGAAACATTCCAAAGAAAGATGCATTAAATTGTTTTTGAAAAAAAAAAAAAAAATTGGAAAACATACATTTGCCCACGCGTACTATAATTAGGCAAGTAGTAGTACTATTGGACACCATGACTTTGCCACGCGAACTAGGCCAGTGCGCTTTCCTCAATCTGAAACAATTCATCTAGCGTTATCGATCATCCATCTCCTCTTCTACTCTTTTTTTTTTTGATGTATGAAATATTCTTTGAGAGACGGATTCGGTTAGATGGATAATGCGAGACTAATCTTACCGGCTTATCGCGTTGAAGAAATTATAGCGAGAGATACTTGAATGGAATCGGATAAACATCATGTGACTTCGAGAGATCATGTGGAAATTCATTTTTTCATCCATTAAATAGATCAAGAATTTTGCCCTTTTTTTTTTTCCTTTTGGAACTAGAACATTTCTCGAGACATTTATTGTCCACGGCCACACGATGAGTTTTAATTGACCAAATTGTGATCAATGAATTTCTGCATATTCTCAATTTTGAAGCCGTCTTTAACGATGTGGCTTCGTATAAACAAGGGAAAAGGTAAATTGCGAAATAGATAACTAAAGTTATGACAGGTTACGTGAAACTCATTAGTGACACGAGAACTTTTTCCAAATAACTTTTTTTCGTTTTACATGTGATTTAAAGATATTACTTTCTTTGCATGACATGTCAAATTATTTAATGAATTGATTTGATGAGATTTTTTTTTTTCTTCCCTTTTTCCCCCCCTTTTGTTTTCCAGTGCTTACCCCAACCCCCAAAAAATATTTTAAAGTTTTCGTTATTAATAAAATAAAAAAATAAAAGGAAAAAAAATAATTTAATTAGAAGGTTCAACACATGCCTAAAATGTTGTTCTATGTTTCGTTGCTTTGTGTATCCACCGTACGTTGTCTCCTTTGTTACAGCCATGAAAAAAAAAAAAAGAGAGCATTAGGTAGTTAGACGCCAAAACAACAAGTAATTCTCAGAGAGTAAAAATCAAGAGATGTTGAGATAACCGTTCGTATCATCAAGATTTTGATGTGATAGATATTGGTTTAACCATTTTCTATATAAAATAAAAGTTAATCATTTCAATTTAGTAGTATCGTCCGGAGAAATTCACTTATTCTATGAGAAAATAATAACATAAATTAAAATTTTTTTTTTTTTTAAAGAAAAAAAAATTTATACGTGTATAAATAATTTTAAACTAATTAACTTGTTAATTTACTTGTTTCCTTCTATTTCCTTTGTAAACATTAACCGCCACCATGAAAACCCATATAAAATCGGGTGAAAAACTCTAACGGTGTCCCAATCTAATTAGAGCAGATTGGGTAACATGATTTTAAAGTCGTGGTACAGTATCAATCTATTTTATCACAGTTGATTATGTACAAGAGAATAAGGTTTCTTTGTTGGTTTTTTTTTTTTTTTTGGAAACCGTCCATATCGCGAAACTTTTAAACTTTCGCAAAGTATTGAACAAAGACGCCAAAAGAAGACACGAGGAAAGAATCCCATGTTGAAACGAGTCATCATGTGTGGAAAGAACCTCTTCATACATTATATCGTAACATCAAAACCAGATATTTGTTTAATGGGACGTTTAATCCTTAAATGGAAAGATTAAAATTTAATATCCTTTGTACTCCACTCACACAATACAACACTCCTTTCATTAACTGTATTATTCTTAATATTGTTCATTTATGAAAGACAAGACATATTAGACTGTAAGAATTAAACCATCATGTAAAAATAGAAGGCGAAAAATCGCGCAACGCTTTAAAGGGTTAAACCACCGTCATCCGGCGCCGTAGGGATTTATACACGTGATTACTGTGTTAAATGATTGCTTTTGCGCGTTCCCTCGACTAATGGCCTTGTTAAAATTATTACAAATTATTAAATCAATCATTCATGTTCTTTTTTTTTTTTCGATGAAAAACCTTATTTGCGAAATTTGATCATATGACGCGAGAGAATTTTCTGAATTATTTATGAACTAAAAACTTTTAACTATCTTTGTGACAAGTTGACAAATACATTTTATTCTAAAAGATGCTGATTGTGCAATAACGATAATAATAATAAATAATAAGGATTCTTTTTTTTTTTAAAAAAAAAAAG